CTCCATCCCCCCGGCACTTAGTTTGCTTGTCGAGCCGGCGGCCCTGGCGGCCCTGCAGTGCCGTGGCGCTCCAGCACTCAGGTGGAGCAGCGCCTCAAATCAGACCTACACTGCTAATCCAAGTGTGGACGAGGGTGTTGCGACGTGCGCGGAATGTATTTTTTGTTGAATCGCATTATAGATGTCGTATCGTTGACGCCCTCGGTGCATTTATCTAAAGGTCTCCGAGCTCGAGTCTTTACATAGGTTTGTCGGAAAGTCCAGAGGAAAACGTCATCCGGGCACTGGTGAGCAGTGTAGGAAAGGGAGAGAGAGAGAGAGAGAGAGAGAGAGAGAGAGAGAGAGAGAGAGAGAGAGAGAGAGAGAGAGAGAGAGAGAGAGAGAGAGATGGAACAACACACGGGGCGCTCCTGGGCGACTGCTTGCCTCTCGTCATCAGCATGTCCCGACCCTCACTCCTCATTTTTCCAGATGCTGCCCCCATTCAGGTCGCGTCTGCATGCCCGGGCCGGGCGGGCTGGGCTGCCCAGGTCAAATAAGGGCTGCCACTCGAGGGATCAAAAGGCCGACCAGTGTTACGGTGTGGTTTCGCCGCGCGGTCGCCCGGACGAACTCCCCGCCATGGAAATAATGAGATTACACAGTGTGCTCGCGGGAAAACGAGGAGGGAGACGGGCAGGTAGGCCGTACCGCCCTGGCCGCGGGGCCGCGGGCCCAACGCAGAGGCGACTTCGGACTGGCGAATAAATATGGAGTGCTCCGTCAACATTGGCTGGAAGGAAGCCTCATATTTGACGGCGTTTTGTCGATTTTTCTGCGACTTTTGCCGGCGGCGAAGTCACGCCGAAGTCACCTCAGCTCGGGCGCACGCAACGGGCTTTAACCTCAAAGGCCTTTCAGAGGAAAGAGAGAAGGTTGCCAGCCCGCTGGAGCTCGTCGGGTACACTGGTGAGGTCTGAGGCCAAGTGATTTTCATAAAGCAACGTTGGCTCTTCTCCTGTTTGAATTATTTTGCGACTGTCCCACAAAGGCAGGAAGAGGGAAATTGGGGGAACGCGTGTGAGTGTCGCTTTTTTTTGTGGTGAAATGCCGTTACGGTCACCGACACCTTTCTGCCACGGCCAATCGCGTTAAGCCTAAGAGCACCTTTGTGCGATGTTAGCCCCAGCGTCACCTCGTGAAATTGACTTCTTTTTCTTTTAGGATGCGACATCGTCCTCAAAAGCATGTGCCGGGAAAAAGAAACACGGGAAAGAGACAGTACCTGGAAGTCTCAGGCGGCCTGGAAAAATAGCCTGTTTTTCCAGGGGGCGATCCTGGGGATCCCGGGTACTGCTTCCCTATACTACACGGCACTGGTGATCAAAGATGAAAATCCCACAGTGTCTCATTCGTATTCTGCTTTGGTTAATTCGTGTTTCTTTCTTGTTTTTTGTTTTTTCTGTCCGCAAAATAAGACCCCCGCCTTGTTTTTTGTCGCGTGTAACTGGGCACCTCTCTTGATGGAGTGGCCGAGGTCCGACCCGGCGGCCGAGGTCCGGGAGTCGCGGCGGGGCGCGGCGGCGCGAGGCAAGCCGCGTGGCGCCGCACGGCGTGCCCCCGGTGGTGGCGCGCTGGCATGTAGGCCATGTTTGCTGCCCTTTTACATTTTTCACGGGACGTGATGTGTTTTTTAGGCGGAGCGTGACGTGAGGCCGGCCCACGTACGTCGGCTGAATCTGAGAAGGCATCCCATCCCGAACCCTGTTAATGACGACGGAACAAACGCAAAAAACGTAATTAATTTTTCCGGTCGGAGGATATTAACCCCCACGCCGCCGCCGGCAGGTAGTACGTCGGGTTCGAAGCTCGATGGACGAAACAGTGACGTCATTTCGGCGGCATTATTAGGGCGCTCAATTTACGGCACTCGGTCGAGTGGTTTTAGTGCGGCCGGCCGGCGGGGCGGCAGCGTGGCAGCGCGCGCTTCGTGTCATATCTTCCACGCAATTTCGCTGCGGGGAAAGTCAGGCTGTGTGCCGCACACTGTAGCGGGGCTAAGCCCTATGAAGCCATAGCTCTCGACACGGAGAAGGTCTCGGGGCGGCGGCGACGCGCAGCAAGCAGAGTCGCTACGTCTCTCTCGCACTCATGCGGCGTCCCGCATAGGTGCGAGAGAGACAGAGCGACGACTCTCGGATTGAGTCGCTTGCAGGCCGGGCACTACTTTGTGGCGCTTTGACGCGACGAACAGCGTCACGGCAAGGGACGTAATCATGTTGTTGCTGAGGTTGTTGTTGTTGTTGTTGTTGTTGTTGTTGTTGTTGGGCCGGCGATGCGCGCGCTCCGCCATCGTTACGACAACCTGACGCTCCGATAATAAAATTAACGGGGACGTTGTTATGGCCAACGCCGCATTTCCCACGCTCTCGTGAAATTGGAAGGCGTCACACACGCGTGGCAGTCACGATCAAACCGCGTTAACGGTTCCATTCGTCGCCGCGTGTTGCCCTTGGTTACTCTCGGTTGCCCTTGGTTGCCCTTGGTTACTCTCGGTTGCCCTTGGTGGCTTCTTGAGGACGTCTATCCGGAGAGGATTGAGTACCAGCGCTGGCAGAGCGGATACCATGGCCCTCCGGTAGCTCAGTGGTTAAGAGCATGTTGTGGGAAGCGGCAGGTCCCGGGTTCGGGACTGGTAGTATGTACAATTTTTTCGGTGACCAATTGCTTGGGGAGGTATATCCAGAGAAGATTGAGTACCAGCGCGGGCAGAGTGGGTGCCATGGCGTCCCGGTGGCTCAGTGGTTAAGAGCGTGATGTGGGAAGCAGCAGGTCCCGGGTTCGGGACCGGTAGTATACGCAATTTTTTCGGCGACCAATTGCTTGCGGAGGTATATCCAGAGAAGATTGAGTACCAGCGCAGGCAGGGCGGGTGCCATGGCGTCCCGGTGGCTCAGTGGTTAAGAGCGTGATGTGGGAAGCAGCAGGTCCCGGGTTCGAGACCGCTCAAAGTACCATTTTTTCGGGACCAGATTTCTCGACCGGCAGCTCAAGAGGAGTTGCGACATCGCCGCGGACAAGCTGGTTCGGTGGCTGAGCGGTCAGGGTAGAGGAGTTGACTAGACTCGGCACTCGGGGTCGCGGGTTCAAATACCCAATGTGACCCCTCTGAGGTAAGGCCTCTGAATCTGGACTCTCACTGTACCACAGAAACCGCGCGCACTTCGGGTGGGCCAGCCTAATACGAACCCACTAATCTGTCGAATTGCGCGGCAGGGAGCGTCGGATGAAGGCCCGGTTCCCATAAGAACACCGAAGCTGATCGGCGGGTCTCCTTGAGACTTTCGTATTGCCACTTTTTGCCGCCGATTTTTTCCATGAAACGCACTGCGGGAATGGCGCATCATTGCCCAGCGGTACTTGTTCAGTGTGCAAGCTACCAGGTGCGAACTGGTCTTACTTCGGCGAGACTCGTTTCGCAAAAAAATCTTTTTGTCTGGGGTACTCTAGGTTGACCTTGTTTACTCTTGCTTATGCCCTCGGTTACACTTGGATGCCTTTGATTACTCTCAGTTGTCCTTGGTTACTTTTGGTTGCCCCTGGTTAACTCTTGGTTGGTGTTTGTTGCAGCGTCAAGTCGGAGCTGCGCGAGGACGGCGCCGAGTCGGTGCTGAACGTGGCGCGGGTGGACAAGGCGGACGCCGGCAACTACACGTGCTCCATCTCGCCCACCCACCGCACCACCGTGCTGGTGCACATCCTGGACGGTGAGTGCATGCAGGACCGTACACGGCCAAAAAAAAAAACGTATACGCCAAAAACAAGACGGACAAGCGTAGGCCGGACAAAAAACTTAGGGGAAAAGGATTCCTCGTTCGCAGAGCAAGTCATTGGTGGGGTCATACGCTGGGTTCGAGTCCTGTTTAGCGACTCTGGAGCTGAAAACGCCTGCGGCGGTCTTCTAGCCCACTGAGCCTTGCAGTGGGGAAGCGCGGCGAAGCGCGGTGTGTACACAGCTTATTAGCGCTTCAGTCCTTTCCACGTCCGGGATGGACGGACAGGCAGACGGACGGACAGGCAGACGGACGGGCAGGCAGACGGACGGACAGAAAGACGGCGTCCTCAAGGGCGGCCCTGCCGGGCCCTGCGGCCGCCGTAGGGCTCGTCAGCGCCGAGTCACGCCCTTGTAGTGGCCCTCCGGCCCTTCCCGCCAAAATGTATTCACTTTACTTCCCTTCGGAGGGGCCGTGCCGGCCGTGCCGCGGCGTGGCGTGCCTCCGGGATGAGGGCGTGCTCGGCGGGGGCGCCCTCTTCGGCCCACAACACCGCAGTTGATTATGGACTCGGAGAAATGTATTCAAGAGATAAAAAAAAGAGTCGGCGATGATCCCGTTTCGGGCGCGCATCGGGGATTCTCTCTCGTGACGCGTTACTTAGTGTGCTCCGACTGTGAGACGGAGAGCGTGTGTGAGTGTGATCAGGGAGGAGCGAGGGGCGCTACGCGGGGCCCTTGGGGTGCATTGATGCGTTTTGGAGCCGCCGATATGAATACAAAGGGCCGATTCAGGCGGTGAGCTGGAGCGTGCTAAAACGGGCCGGCTCAATCCGGAGATGAAATCAGGGGGCTGGTGCCGCACTGCCGCGCTGCACGGTGCGCTCCGAGGCTGGTACAGGCTGGGAAGGTCCAAGTCGGTGAGAGTCAGACACCGAGAAAGTGGCGCGGCTTCAGGCTCGACCCTCGCGCAGCCTACGGTGGGCCAGAAGACCGGTAGAGGCGGCCAAATCTCTAGACGCGTTTTGAGCTCCAGAGCCGCTAAACATGACTCAAACCGAGCGTGTGACCCCACCAATCGAATCCTCGTTCGGAGAGTAATCCAGTGGTGGGGTCACACGTTCGGTTCGAGTCCCATTTAGTGACTCCGGAGCTCAAAACGCGTCTAGGATATTGGCCGCCTCCACCGGTCTTCTGGCCCACTGTGCAGCCCCCGTGCACTGTTAGGGCCGACCCGCCTCTCCGATTCTCCTGGAGCCGGCTGGAGCCTCCTCCACTGCTTGGCTGCACTGGAGCGAGGCTGCGTCTGGAGGCAGGGGCGAGGAAGGAGTGAAGGAATATTATGTTGTTTCAGCGAATAACGCGTGCGCCGTTCGTATGCGTACATAAAATGTGCTCTATGCGGGTGTGTGTGTGTGTGTGTGTGTGTGTGTGTGTTTGTACGTGAGTGTGTGAGTGTGTGTGCACGCGCGCTTGCGAGACGAACAGCCCCTCCTCCAGACTGCACGGGGAATAGGATTGTTGTCTGAGGCAGCCGCGGAGCCAGGGCCAAGGGGGCCTTGGCGGAGGCTGGCGCAGGGGGCGCAGGGCGCTGCAGGGTCGGGGAGGGCATGTTTTTGGAAGGGTGTGCTAGCAGGGCGGTGCGATGCGGTCCCGACGAACACACTCACGCTCGAGCAGATGAGAGAGACCGTCCGAGAAACGAAGGCGTCGGCCACAAGGAGGCACTCGCTGGGCCTCCCCAGGTCTACGCACTGTGAAAATTTTGACAGTGGCGTTGCCAAACTCGCGCGCTGTCATTTTTCATCCCTGACATCCATATTAGTAATGCGGGCGCGCTTACCGCCCGGTAGTTTAATTTGTATGTGGGAGGCGCGCTAGGCCGCGCTAGGCCAGCCACACTCCTCACACAGCGAGACCGTGTTGCTGGTCTGGGAGTCCCAAGTCCCCGAGGTTGGCCGCGTTATGCATCCTGCCTAGGAGAACGCATAAATCTGTATGCCGCGGGGCAGGCATGCACGGTAAACCGAATGCCTCGAAAACCGGGAGAGCGCCCCGGTTTTGGGTGCGCTGTCTTTTTCTATCTTGTGGAGAGGGAGTGAGACAGCGCATCCAAAACCGGGGCGCTCTCCCGGTTTTCGAGGCATTCGGTTTACCGTGTGGGGCAGGTGAGGGAAGGGGAGGGGCAAAACTACCGCGCACCACATCGCGAGGCTGACCAAACCGACCGACAAAAAAGGAAAGCCATAACTTCTGCTCTCTCTCTCCCTCCTATCCTCTTTCTCCCTCCACCCGGCGTGCCGGGGCAGCGAGGGTCCGGTCAGGGGCGGACCTATGATAATTAATTTCCAGCCGGTTTCCAATTACTTCCGGGAGTGGAGCGTGTGCCGCACCTCCTCCATCGTCCAGTACTTCGGCGCGGCCTGCCGGGCCTCCGGGAGCGCAGCGCGCCGCGGCGGCCTGAACTACGACGGCCTGGGCGGGCGTGGCGGGCGTGGCGGGCCGCCTCCTGACTCAGGGCTGTCTTCGACTTGGCGGCGAGTTAAATGTTTAAATACCCACCGGATTAATTAAATAACTTGCGCCATTTTCCGCGCCCCGTAATGCTGAAAACGGGGATGCAGCGCGAGTATCCGTAGTTGGGCTACTCGCTGCTGCCACGTTTCCTCTTGCTTTTCTTTTTTACCTCGTGCTATTTTACTCCCTCTCTCTCCCGGATGTTTCGCAGAGTTTGGCTCGGGAAAGGTGCACGTTCGGGACTGGCCGAGCGCACGGCGATGTACCCCGCACAATTAACCTTCGTGAAGTTGCGGAAATAGGCGAGCGGTTGCCGCGGGGTTCCGAAATTCTGTCGATTTTCTTTGCACTGCTGTGTTTGCCTGTACGGGGCTGCGTGAACCGTCTAGGGTTTTGACCGCCTCCACCGGTCTTCCGGCCCACTGTGGGTTAGTGACGTGGCTGAGGACCGTGTGCGCTCCGTGAATCACCTAATGGAGCCAATCAAGAGACAGGGGGCCTTGGGGCGTTACAGGACACGCCACAAATCTAGAGCGGACTCGAGACTAACCCCGTCGGGGGAACCCAGACAGGGCGAATCGGACTGCACACTGTGCAGCGCAGGGAAGAACACCCCTCCTGGCGGAGCGTCGCGGAGCGTGCAGTGTGCACTGCGGAAGAAAGAGACCTGGAGCGCGGCACACTGCAGCAAAATGTTGCGTCTCTCCAGCAGACTGAGAGTCGTTTTCATCGCTCTGTCTCTCTCGCACTCATGGGGCGTCCCGTGTGGGTGCGAGAGAGACAGAGCGACGAAAACGACTGGTGCGATGGTGCTCGCCTTTCATTAGCCGATCGCCCCCTACAGTGTTGCGTGCCAGTTTCCGCCCTGTTTTATCAGATTACCTCCAGGGCCTCCACCGCGGCCTCCCCTCAGGCGGGCCAGCCGGGCACTGACAAAAAAAAATCTCATTACCCTGAATTTCTCCGATTACTGATTACTGAGCGATCTGAGCCGAAAGACTCTGTCGCAAACTTGAGAGGGGTACTTGGCAATGGAACATTCGGCTCCGATAGAAAAATCACGCGCACAGTGTGGGTTTGGATAATTTCGCGAAGCGCTTTGTTTCGGCGCGTTGCGTGCGGGCCGCGGGCACGCTGTCGATTTCCTTGCAGTGGGGCGGTGTTTATTTAGGATTCGTTGGGGGCCACGACACGGCGCCTGGTTATTCGCTGTGACAAGTCCGTGGCAACAAAAGGACAAGCCGGACAAAGGCGGCGGCAAGGTGCTCGGCCCTAGACTTGGCTCTGGGTCCGCGTCGGGATGGAGGAGGCGGTGCGATCATGCTCGAGGCCCAAGGTAGGTCGCACAATAGGATTTACGGGCGCCGGGAAGCCGCTCCCGTCTCTCTCGCACCCGTTGCGGCACGCCCCACGAGTGCGAGAGAGACAGCGCGACGAAGGCACCGCCCTAAGCGGCGCCTGGCAGCCGGCAGCCTCCAGGTCGGAGAAGGAAATTAGACTTGTCCCCGTCGTGCCGTCGTCCGCGAAGAGAGAGGGGAGGGGGCGGTTACAGTTCTGACAGCAGCCGGCTAACCCGTTCCCTCCTTTGTACAGCGTTAGCGACGGCCGGGACAAATTCCGGCAGCAGTTTTCACAGCTCCGCTCCGCGCTGCTCCGCGCCCCTCGCGTCGTCCGACACCACGCCCTCCTCGTGCTGCTGCGCGACCCGCACCGCAGGGGTCCCGCGGGAGCGGTACCGGGCGGGGAGTATTCCATTGCCCGGGCCACGCCGGCCGCGGGGCGGGGCGGGCGGTGCCGCTGAGTTTGGCCTGGGACCGGCCTGGCCCGGGACTCTCTGGAGCGCGCGGGGCGACGCGCTGGCCACATCAAGGGGCTAGGCTAAGAGCGGCCACCACGCGCGATCGAAGACACTGGGAGGATACAGTACTCCCGCAGCTACCCGCCACTGTGTGTGTGTGTGTGTGTGTGTGTGTGTGTGAGTGCGCTCTGGGTGAGCAGTGCATTACAAGAGACCCTGACCACTTTGCGGTAGTTGAAACCAACCGCAACGAATCCAAAAGCAGTGGTATACTCGTTTCGTATTCCAAGTCGACTTGACCTTTCTGATTTTTTTTTGTTTGCGGAAAAGCGGTGCTTCCTCTCGTGCGGAATCGGGCAAATCTTCCACCCCCGGTGAGAGTGGGCTGGGCGGACTCGTCTGGACTTGCTAGTGCAGCAGACTGATTCCGGGAGTCGTCGTTTTCGTCGCGCTGTCTCTCCCGCACCGACACGGCGCGCACCGTGAGTGCGAGAGAGACAGCGACAAAAAGGACGACTCTCGGAATGAGTCTGCTGGAGCAGCCCTCCAGTCCCGCTCGTTTGCGGCACCCTCCGCAATTGCTCTCCCCACATTCGTTTGTGTCGGCTCGGCTCGGCTCGGCTCGGCCGGCGTCTGCCGAAGGGTTCCATGACGTCCATGACGTCCATGACATGCCGGCC